TGAACTTGAGTTTTAGGCCTAGGAAGGTGGCAAGACAAGGACTCTGCTTCTCAATCAGGAGCTCAGCCAAGGTACCTGCTGGCTCTGTGACTATATCTAGCACATCCTCAGTGTCATTATGAGAAAGCAGTACAGGCACTACATTTTTTCACATTTCTAGAGAAGTTACACAAGGTTATCCACTTAATAATTGGTTAGGTTGGGATTTGAATCTGAACAGTCTGGTCCCAGAGTCCACAATCTTAACTACTATGATACACTAATAGGATTATTACTTAAGAGTTTGGAAGAAAGCCATGCGGCCAGTCAAGATTTTACACAATCACAGGATACAGTTACCTGAATGCATTTTTATGGAAAGATAGTGGCCACTCAATGAGAAGAAAGAATAATATGAATGAATGAGAAAAACTCAAGGTGAGAAGGAAAAGGACTACCTTTTGACTCATATGGTCAAGGAGAAGTGTGGAGAAACTCTGGGAATGAGTTGCTCTCATGCATAGACCACTCCAGGCCCACTCTAACCACCTGACCTGTGGGCAACCTGCCTTTTAATGAAAGGAGAGTCCTCCATGAGGACAAAAGCATGAAGGGAAGCATCTTCTTCATCTAACCAAAGTGCAACAGACTAGAGTCAGTGAGGAAATTTCTTGGGAAGCAAGGACAGCAATGGACATAAACCATTGTTTTTATTATTTTATATGAAATTACTGAGAAAGTAAAATAGGGAAAGTAACTCAACTCATTTATAAAGCCTGTATAGCATTGATACCCAAACGGGTCTAGGGGAGTACTGGAAGAGAACATTAAAGACAGGTTGCGCTCATGAATGTACATGCAGAAACCTAAATAAAATATTAGCAGCAGAACTCAGCAGTGAATATAATACACGTACAAATTTACATCACATTAAGTAAACCTTATCCAAGCAATGTCTGTACAGTTCAGTAACGGAGAATCTACTCATGGAAAAATTAAATTAGCATATTAATGGCAAAAAACTATAAGATCATCTCAGTGGATGCAGAAAAATACTGGACAGATTTAACAGTAATTTATAATGAAAGGTATAATAAACTAGGATTAGAAGGGAACTTATTTTCCCTGATAAAGATCATCTGAGGCATTCCTATTAAAGTCAGGAGAAAGGCATGTTTGTCCCTTATTGTCTATTTGGACCTACTCTGTTCATCACTGGATTAGAGGTCCAAGTCAGTACAATGAATCCAGAAAAACAAAAATAAGGTAAAACATCTGGAAAGGAGATAAAAATTTCCTTATTATTAAACAATATGAAAATTCAAGAAATTCTATAGACAAATTGAAAACTAATAGTAGAGTTCAAGACATTTATTACTTGGCTACAGATTTTTATTCTCAGTGATTATATTAAAATTTTTTTCAGACTTTATAAAACAATCAGAAATGTTAAAAAAAAAAAGAAAAGAAAAGAAAAGAAAAAGAAAACTAATAGTAGAGTTCAGCAAGATTGCTGGATACAAAATTAAAGCAAAAATCCAGAGGATTCCTATACATCTCTGAGGAGAAAATAACAAATAATTCTTAAAGAACACAGAAGACCTGAATAGAGAGACATATTGGATTCATAGCTAGAAACACTCACTGTTTTAAAGGTATCAATCCTCATCTAAGTAAACTATAAACTGTATGCAATTCCAATCAATATCCCATTAGGGATTTTCTTGAATTGGACAAATTGACTGTAAAATTTATTGAATAAGCAAAAGCCAAGAATAGGCAAAAATATTTTAATGGAAAAGAGCTAGACGGAAAATTTTATACTTTATATATATATATATGGCTGTAGAAATTAGAGAACTAGATCAGTGCAACAGAATAGGAGCCTAACGTTATCATAATACTTACATCTTTCTTTTTTTTTTTTTTTCCTTTTTGTCTTTTTTACTGACTGGTAACGGGATCGCAACCCTCGGTGTCGCGCCTGTACCGGGGACCGGCAACGGGATTGCAACCCTCGGTGTTGTGCCCGCACCGCGTTCAGCCAGTGAGCGGGAACCGGTCTCCAAATGGGATCCGAACCCTCGGCGGGAGCGCCAACGCACTCCCAAGTGGCGCACTCTCCAGTGTGCCACCAGGCCGGCCCTAATTTACTTTTATAATGTAGAAGTTTTAACTTTAAGAAAATAAAAATCCATAACTGAGTGATTCGTTTCTGGCATTCTTCCATCTTTATATTTATCAACATGTGTCTTGTGTGGATATTATCATTTCATCCTCTATGCTTGCAAGTACTAAAGTAGATATGCTGACTTTCTTCTTTGCAAGAGCAAGAGAACTCATTATCACTCAAATAGGTAGTGTGGCTGAAGTTCAGGTGAGCATCTGAGCACTTTGATAATTCTCATTAAGGCTTAATAATTGGAATGACATTTACCCAGGTAGGTAGAGGGGCGGCTGTAGGATCTGGTTGTAACAAAACCAGGTGTCTGGTTCACATCTGGTAAGAATGTTCCATTTCCTAGCTAACTTCAGAAGTCTCTTTAAGATCATTGCACAAGTCAGCCACTTATCTCTTTATTCCTGATGCTCTGAGATATTGAACGTATAATGCAAAGGGTTCACCCTACCTTGAAATAGAGGAGGGGGGAAGTTCCTCTTTTGTTACTTTGAGGAGTTCCTGTCCAGTCAGCACTGGCTAAATTTCATTCCATGGCATAATGGGAGAAACAACTTAAGCTTTAACTCACACTTATTGAAAATGAGAACAAGGGGGATCATAATTTGAAAAAGCACTTTCAGCTACAGTCACAATGACTTCATTTTCCTCACAACTGCTCTTCAGGGAAAGTTTTTTCACCCACTGATTTTCTGCTTAAATTGTCTTTATTTAACTGTGAGCCCAGTCCCCCTGGGAAATTGTGGGCCATACATTTGGAAATGCTGGAGGCAGCAGTGGGATCACAGGACCTGTGGAATATACTAATGTTTATAAAGCAAGTGTATTTCACAGGGCCTATTTTCCAAAGCCCTGTAGTCTCAGGTTTAGGCTAACCTTTTGGAATTACATATAGAAACGTTAACCTTGCAAAAGGTAGGAAACTTTCCTTAGGATGAAGTCTTTGTAACACAGCAAAGTTGCTGGCTCAAGGACAGACAAGTTACTTGATTGATACGTAAAACACTGGGGAAATTGCTGTAGAGAAAAACAGTGTTTGCTAAGATCAAGCTTTTTTTGGTGGATCAACTTAACCTTTTGCAAATTGCATTATGGAATGTCACTTTGCTTATTTCAATGATGTTACTAGTTTTCTATTTGTTAGCCATAATTCTACCGATATCCTTGTGTCTTTGTAATGATTAAATCAATTGAATTTTCTTGTAAAACTTCCTTGTCTTTACAATAAAAGAGAGAGGCTAATTTTGGAAGGGGCTGACACATTCAGTTTTGCCCCTACTAATGGGGAAATTACTGAAGTGCAGTCTCTCTGGGCCTCAAATACATAGTGCTTGAGTATTCGCATAATTCTTTTCTTCATATCTGTTACACAGGGAAAAGAAGTGTAACAAGGACCGACTCACCTAACAACACCAGTCATAGCCGCTGCCACAGACAGCACCTTTACCTGGATAAATTTTCAGAGGTTTAGCATTTTCAAAACATCATGGACTTTTAGATGATTATTTTCTCCTTATGAACTGGAAAAGCTAACCTTGGTTTTCTGCACTGAAGTGGGGAAAGAAAGAAGTTGATAATACAAAAATTGTTTATAAGGTTGATATCATATGACTCAACTTCTGGACCTCTTTTCATGACTACCTCCTGAGATTAGGAAAGCCAGAAGACAGAAGACCAGAGACCAAGTACATGAGAGGGAAGCCCATGGAGGAGTAGATAGTGGTCTTCTGGTCCATTCACTCCTTCACTTTTCTTCCCTTTGCTACATTGCATATTCTGGCACTTCACCCTGTAGCTGCCCTAGTTTTATAGGCAATAGTGATAGGCTAGGGGCAAGAAATTCCAGAACAGACCAAGCAAGATATGATCCAAAAGGAGAAACAGAGACAGAGGCTTTCACATATAATACTGTTATCAAAGTCCCCTAAATGAGTGAAAGAGTCACAAGTATCCAACTGGCCCTAACCCCTGCCTTCATAGGCCTTGGGAAAGTCCATTCAGCACTGCAGTAGGGAGAGTCCATGCTCCCCAGATGTTCCTGTGCTCCTCCATATTTCCCAGACTCCCTTTGCAGTTAGATTATGCCCATGTGACTAAGGCCAACGTATGAGATGTGAACAGAAGTGATTTGTGTCACCTCCAGGCCAAAGCTGTTAACAAGAGCCAGTCTGCTCCTTCTATCTCTTTCTTTCCCTATGGGGAAAGAGGAAGCCGTGTGTTTCAGATGTCTTAGGTTCAAGATGAAGCAGGGCCTCCCAACCTGCTTCCCATGTACAATGGGTTAACAAATAAACCTTTGTTGTGTTGAAGATTGCAGAAGTTTTGATTTCCTCGTTACTGTAGCAGAGCTTATCCCCATCCTGACTAACACTTGGCAGCAAGTGAATCTCTCCAATGCTTGATTTTCTGAGAGAAGGCTACTCTCCTCATAGATATAAAGAAAAGACAAACTGAAGATGGAGGAAGAATGATGGGCCAGAAATTGGTAGAGCTGGTTATAGTTTGGATTTGGCTGTGATTTTTTGTATGCTTTTGGGCAGATTGTTCAACTTTTGTGGTCCTCAGTTCCTCAACCAGAGCAGTGGTTTTGAGGACTTTTTGTTTGACATGTAACCCCTTCTCCAAACAAAATCTTTCATGAAGGCCAGTCTATAAAGCGATAAAAGAAAACTACCTCTCCCTTTAAACCATGCCCCTGCACTTTCACTGCCCATGCGGCCCCTGGGCCATCTCAGTGGAACCCTGCAGATCATGGCACAGAGTGCAAACGACTGGCTCAGATGGCCCCTATGGCTCTCTCTGAAGCTGGCAGGTGTTCACAGTGACAGCAGCTGTTTCCTACCTGTCCCACATGTTACACTGCACTCTGTCCAGCGGCCGTACTGCCAGAAGTACATCAGCTGCTCCACATCATTGTCAAGGCCGTCTTTCCGGATTGTGTACTCATACTTGATGCCAGGGTTAGTCACCTGGAATAGAAGCTAAAAGGCAAGACAGGTTATGTCAAACTCTGTCATGACTTTATGCTGTAAACCACAGTCATATAAAAGCACTACACAATGTTCATCAACTAACAAAAGTTAGTTATGGGAGCATTCATCGGAACAAATGCCATTAAGTGGATCTATATCTACATCTGTGTCTGTATCTATATGTCTACCTTTCTCTCTGAATCTGTTTCTCTATCTCTGTCTCATCTCTACCTACATCTCTGTCTCTACCTCTACCTCTAAATCTATATATTCTCCATTCTATTGTTTTCTTGGCTGAATTCCCATGGGAATTACAGTTCATGTAAATGAGGAAGTCTAATCATATGGTGATTGCTCTGAGGGAAAAGTAAGGAGTATCCTTTCTAACAGTAGGCTGGTAGGTCCCCTTGCACCTTATGTACTTATTAACTTTGTTAATATAGGTAAATGCCTTAGTTTTCCCAAATACAAAGTGAGGATAATAATAATAATACCTACTAATAAGGTTTTTGGGAAGGTTAAGTGAGTAAATACATATAAAGTGGTTAGAACAATGCCTGATATTAAGTTAGCACTTGATAAAAGTTAACTTTTATTATGTTTGTTGTTGTCTTGTGATGCTGTCCTTTAGCTCTTAGACTGGTAAGTTCCTTCAGTGCACAGTAGTTCTGGAGTGAAAGGGGTCATGGGTTTTAGCTAAGATGTGCCACTCTCCCTCACTTTCCTCTCCTGCAGACAATTTACTTACCACACATTTAAAATGGATTCATCTTAAACTTAGAGGCAGTAGATTGGTTGCTCCCTGGGATTTGGGTTCCCACACATAAATCCTTGCCCACGTGGGCAGGTCAGATGTGAGGTCTCCTAACACTCACGGATCTCAGCTGCCACGCCTGACCTCCAGCTTCTGTGAGTGCTCTGACCTCTGGCTCAGAAATGACCTCCCTGTAACTTTTGAAAGTGGCTGCATCTAATTCTTTTGGGTTCTCATCACCTCCAAACTACTATGCCTCTACTGGCATAATCATTTCACTCCTCTTTTACAGTTCTGTGCCTCCATGAAAGACAAATCCCTTGTGCCTTTGAAGAACATATGTTGCATCCTTACCTCTCCTTCCCCCAAGAGTTTCACAACATCAAACCCTTTGCCTGAGGACGACCACATGACAACACACCCGCTCATCACCACTGCTAGAAAGCTACGTGAAAACTCATGCCACACTGACAATGGGCTGAGAACATCCTTTACATACCTGAAAAATCATCCTCAAGTAAATCAGCCTGGAAACTGAACTCAAATTCCCAGCAGGTGGTTTTAGATCCCCTGGCATTGTGTTATAGGGGTCTTAGCAATTTCTAGGCAATAAAGGATTAGCAACACAAACTAATATCTAGCTCCCCTCCCTGTTCCTAATTAAAAGAAGTTTGAAGGATTCTTATTTAATATTCCTTAGAAAATACCCAGGAAAAGAAATTATAAAGATGCTAACGAGCGTTCATGTCAGCAGTGTCCTTCCCTTCTGCATTACCTGGATCCACACCGACTCATTGGTGGGACCTGTAGCCATCAGTTTCTCCAGGTCTCCTTTCCTGTCATACTGAAAGACAGTCCCTGCCAGCTTATAGTTCCCATTCCATTGGATAATAAATCCTCCGTTGAGATAATATTTTTCAGGGTCTTCACTCCTGATGGCCAGGAAGTTTCCAGCTCCCTCAATTTCCATTACCCTTATGTCCCTTGATCCTTTTGGAATGAGCGCGATGTCAACGTAACCTAAGGAGAGAAGACACAGTAACAAAAGAGGCATGCTAGCTTTCAGCTGGACACAATCTGTTTCTGACCCACTGTTCATCCTCTTCCCAGCGTCCCCATCATTTACTGCCCTGGCTGGGTGGCTACTGAGATTGGCAGAAGCACTAATAATGGAGGATTTTAAAGAGCTTGGCCAGGGGCAGAATTCTCAGGAGCTTCATGACTCAGTATACAAACAGTTTTGTGAAGCGAGGTGAAATAAATGCAGATTGGGCTCTGAGTCTTTTATGGTCGATCTACCATTTATTTTTCTGTGATTTTATGTTGATAATTCAAAATTTTATAGCTTCCTGCTAGCATTTTTGTTCCGCCATTTGTTGCTGCTGTCAGATTAGTCTTTCTAAACATTGCACTGGACACGTACTTTCCCTCATTTCTATTGCCAGCAGGTTAAAGACCCATTCTTAGAAGTAATAAAAATCCTAACTTGTATTTGTTAAGAAAATCCTGGAGGAAATCTCAGATTCATTGTCACTTGGCTGTCTTGAATATAGCCCATGATGAGAAACTTAGCTCTGAGCATAGACTTTTATACTTTTCGACAATTGTACGCATTAAAAAGTTGGATTTTTCTCCTCATTTTTCCCTTTATGTTTTGGTGAAATAAAAATCTACGTATGTGGACATCTATTTAGAGATGAGGGTCAACTCTAGCCACAGCCTTATTCTCGCTTAATTGTTGTTATGGTAGGAGGCATACTGGTGAATTAACACAATGGCATTAACACTCAATGGCTGGATTTAACACTTAATGGTTGCCTCTGTTTGCCAGCTCTCTGCTAAGCACTTTATGCAGTCATTTATGTTTCTTAAGAACCACTACCTCATAGAATGGAAAGGACACGGACTTTGGGGATGGCATAGTGAAAGGAGTCCTGGGGCATGGGAGTCTGAAGATTTGGGTTCTAGTCTCTGCATTACCACAAATTAGCTCCTTGATTTTCATTGATTCATTAACTTCTTTGAGTCTCATCTGCAGAGTGAAGGGGACTGAATGATAATGTTTGAAGTCTCTATCAACTCTAATATTCAATGATTTTTCTCTTTTCTAAGCTAACCGTTCTTTGTTCTTTTAACTTTTTTATGCAAAATACTTTTTTAAGACCCTGATTAACCTGGTCATTTTCCACTGGATATACACAAGCTTTTTCGGCCTGACAAACAAGACCCTTATCTCTGCCACCCAAAGATACCTTGATTTCTCCATCTCCCCCTGACACTGCAGTAGTATGGGGTCCTGGAAGTCAAACCATGGCCTGTCCAGCAGGAATGATTGTCTCAGAAACTAGATCCAGGCCAAAGCCTCAGCCTCAGTTTTCAAATTGGCAGCTCCCATCCAGAAGGAGCAAAATGTGAGTCTTGTAGTATTTGATTAAATTCCATTCCAATAATTTAATTCTATTAAATTCCATTTGGCTCTCACACACTGGCCTGAAACAGCTGATTAAAACCACTAACGTGTAACTACCTCAGGGAAGATATTTATCACATGAAATTGAGGCCAATGCAATTTTTAAAAAGGCCTTTGGAGTGCTGCTATCTGCATCCCTTTTCTGACTTAGGATGCAGCATGCTTTCCCATAGGAAAATCTTGCAGGAAAATCAACTGGCATTAAATACTATGTCTATCACCTTCTTCCTTGCTTAAAAAAGAAGGAAAACTAGAAGGAGAAAAATAACAAACAAAGAGTTTGCATTTTATTCTTCTAATTAAGAGAGAAAATCCAAAATAAGAAATGTTTGTCATGGGCTAATTGAAAGGGGAGGTACGCTGTGTTTATAATCAAAGCTTTCAGTGAATATAAGTGCTGTTTCTGAATAGTTTGTAGATAGTGTGGATGAATATACTCACTCAGCAAAATCAATTTTCTTGTATCTTCCCCAGAGTAAAGACTAGCCACTAGTATAGCATCAATATTGAGGGAAGAGGAAAAACATAATCTTGACCTCAAAGAAGGAGTCTCGTGGTCCACGGAGACACGTGGTGAAACTATCCTGTCACTATCCCAGTCTTGAGCACCCTGAGCTAAAAGAATACTCAGGGTCTTTGGGGATGGGGCAGAAGATTGGGCCTCACTTCTGGAGATATTATCATGAGCTATTAATACCACATGTGGATTACTGGTGCTAACACACATCTTATCCAACTGTTCTTTGCAGTCCACAAAAGAAGGTTTTCACCCACTGTCGTATTTGGTTCCAGTCTTTGTCACTTCTAATGAAAATATGCTCATAAAGAGGTTATATTATTAACTCCAGGCAATTTATCTACAACAACCAGCTTGTCTTTTTAAGATTTTTCCTGTCCATTTGTGGCAAGCAAGACAATACCCACTGGCAGGCCAAGATCTCATGATTCATATGAGTAGGCTCCTAGGAAAGGCCGATCTGTCTTCTGATCCTTGGTTTGAGAGCAGTGACACATAGGTGTCTGGGTTCGGTTCAAACCTGTATTCAACAGGTTCACAAATCACAGAGGGAGGAGGAACTACATAAAAAGAATTGCACCTGGCAGATCTTTTGGGAAGTTGAACTGCTTTGCCTAAGATTAAGAGTTTTAGTCACAATTATGTCAAAAGACAGTTTTACCGTACTGGAATCTTATAACACACTGTGAGCAACCACATCACTTGCTAGAAGCCAGTGGGAAGGAAATATAGAAAAGGGAACAGGCACTGATGGTGGCTTCCTGGCCCTAAATGCTTTTGGAACAAAGGTTGTAACTATAAGTCCTGTAGGTTTTTTATCCGTATTGATGTGAAAATTCTCAAGTGGAGTGCGTCATCGCTCTCCCACTCATGCCACCCCCTGATGGTGGCTTCCTGGCCCTAAATGCTTTTGGAACAAAGGTTGTAACTATAAGTCCTGTAGGTTTTTTATCTGTATTGATGTGAAAATTCTCAAGTGGAGTGCGTCATCGCTCTCCCACTCATGCCACCCCCTGCAGCCTGAGGTTTCCTGGGAAACATGGTATAGGGCAGTCTCTAAGTCAGGGGGTATTGTGGTTTCAAGAAAGCCATGTCCCCTCTCATGATTATGCACTATCTTCTACCTCAGATTCTCTCTGGAATGTTTTTTTGTAGAATTCTCATCCTTTCTACTTGAACTTCCTTAGTCTAGGCCCTTATTGCCTAAACTTGGTGCTACAGATTGAATGTGTTTCCCCTAAGTTCAGGTATTGGAAACTTGACCCCCACTGTATGTCCCCTCTCATGATTATGCACTATCTTCTACCTCAGATTCTCTCTGGAATGTTTTCTTGTAGAATTCTCATCCTTTCTACTTGAACTTTCTTAGTTTAGGCCCTTATTGCCTAAACCTGGTGCTACAGATTGAATGTGTTTCCCCTAAGTTCAGGTATTGGAAACTTGACCCCCACTG